TAATAATTAAAACACGGATGTATGACAATGTGATTTTTAGAACAATTTTTTTAAATTGGGTTCCTACTTATTGTCTCCTCTGTCCAGAAAGAATGACAGCCCCAGCTCCCTAGCTGTTCCCCCCTTTATTTTCTCCAGCTCAGATGAATAATAAAAATAATAAATGTGTAATAATAAAGGAAGAGGGTTGCAGGGGTAACAAAAAAATATGATCAACCAAGATCTGTTGATGAGTTGCCATTTCTACTCCCAAGCAATTACTGGTAGAGAGAAAATTGGGGGGTGGTAGGCTGGGGCAGGAGAGAGCTCTAAAGAGTCATGGAGCTGTAAAAAATAATGCGGACAGCCCAGAAGAGGTATAAGCTAGCTTCAGAAAAGGAGGTCTCTATTGCAGAAGCTCAAATAAAAGCTGAACTGGAATGTGGGGGGTGTTAGTGAGAGCCCTGGGGGCTGGGGTGAGAAGGGGGTTGGTGAGCTCAGACCTGCAACCCTATGGTTCTAATCCTGGGGCTTCACTGTGGGGATATTTTGTGCATTGTGAGATGACTGGGCAGAGTACTAAAAACCCCTTGTAGGAACTGGTGATAATAGGCTCCACCTCTTGGAGTCAGCAACCCTCTCTGGGCTTTGCCAGAGAGAGGCCCAGGTCCAAGCTGGCGTCTGTGGCAGATGCATTGTACCCATGCGTCCTCTGCACCTCCAGGAAATGCCCTCCCTCTGCCTCCACTCTTGCGCCTCTTGCTCTCCGCCACCTATCTCTCCCACCTCCCAGTTACCCTTTCTAGTTGTCTGGCTCCAGTCTTGGGAGTCTCCTGAAATTCCTCGCCAGCCTCCCAGGCCTGCAGGAATACCAGGGGCTCCCACTGAGTGAACCTCACAGCCACGCCTCCTACCCTGAAATCTTTCTCTCTCCCTTTCCTTGTTTCTGCATTAGGGAGACATGCAAATTCAGACCGAATCCCAATCTCCCTTTGACCGTAATTTCCAACTCCCTTGCAGAAGTTGCGGGTGCAAGCAAAGGAGACCTCAAGCCTTGGGGTACTCATACAAAGGCCCCAAAGAGTGCAGGAGACACTAGGGGTCACCAGTTTTTGGCAGCTGTGAGCTGGGGGAGGGGTGTCTGCGCCTGGGTCTGAATAAAGGGGAAGAGATCTGAATCTCAGTGAATCCAAGCAAAAGACTATCCACTTCTTAAGACGTGTGTACACGGGAAGGGCCAACAATGGGAGAATTTCTGGCTTTTTTAAAAAAGGGAATTTAGGGAGACCCTGAGTTAACTGGGCCTTAATTTAGGCTCTTGAGTATTCCCAGACACTCTCAGTCTGAGATAGGCACCTTGTTGGATAGTATGTGTATGCAGACTGTCATATTCAATAACTGAGAAAGTTGTCAGAGAAGAAAAAAAAAGCAAGCAACAGAAAAAAAAGAAAACAAAAAACACTGCAGCCTTCTGAGGGCTGAAAAGCAATCCTTTGGGTCTCCCGGTGAAAGAGGAGGTCATGGTTGTAACCACAACCCAAATACTCAGGATGCGACTGAACTCTGGATCTGCCTGAGGATTGCTTCTATGTTGCAACTATGTATATAGTTTAAGCCCCAAACTACAATTTACTCCACTGACTTTAAGTCAGTGCACCCCATGCCTCTAACTAGGTGTTGAGGAGCAAGGAATAGAATAATCTAAATTAAACCAGGTAGAAAATCATTCTTTTGGGGTGTGTGTGTGTGTGTGTGTGTGGGTGTGTGTGTGTATAAGTTTATATTATCCAAATGAGTTCTGTATTTGGACCTGATTCTCCACGAATTTGTTCTGCGCCTCTCTAATTCGCACAGCCGAAGTTGGGTATTTAAATACACTATCGAGAGAGCCGGCAGGAGATGGACCCGGCAGTCCGGTCCTGTGGATGCTAATGCAGCCGGAAACCCAGAGCAATCGATGGCTTAGACCCATAGCGAAGAGGGGACCGCTGGCCCAGATCCGCAAACAAAGCAAACCCCTGAGACCTCGGGTTCCGGCCAGGCCGGAGCCCCCGCCCACATTCCCCTTCACATACAGGAAAGCAGGAAAGGGTTTTTAGGCTCCCGGGGGCTTGGGAAACGTCACCCTGGAGCCGCCAATGCTCTCAGCGCGGTGGGCGTTTGCAGGCGCGGAAGGTTCTGGTGTAACTGAGCGCGAGGCGCGCGGCAGGCCCGGGATCCGCTCGCAATTCCAGCCTTAGGCCCGACAGGCCACCTTTCTGTGTCTGCCTCCTTGGAGACATTGCTGATTTTCCTGCGATCCGCTCCCTCAAGGCTGCTACCGCAAGACCGCAGCCTCTCCCGCCGCTCACCGCTTCAGGTCCTCGCTGCGCTCGCGGTTGCTGCTCTAGGGGAGGCCCCGAAACAAAGGCGGGTCGGCCGCTGATGGATGACGCGGGCGCCCCGGCCGTTACCTAACTAAAGCCCAGAACCCTCAATGCTCTCAGTGGATAGGGATCTGAGACCCTGGTCCAATTCCGCGTCTTTCCAGTTCCTCCTCTGGTACATTGAGGAGTCTGGGGAAGAGAAAACTCAACGCTCCCAAAGCCCGGTGTGATCCAGTGCAGCTCCCTGCCCTACAGCGCCTGCAGCTCTGGTCGCCAAGGCTGCCGGGTCCCTGCCAAGGACGGGATGACCCCTGCTGGCCGGAGCAGTGGAGACTGTCTTTCCTGGGCCCGGTACCGCCCAGTACCTCATCCCTGAACACCCAGGGCCTGGGGAACGTCCCATGGGTTTGTGGGAGACCTTAAAGAACAGCTAGAGTCTGAGGCACTGCTTGAGCTGCAGGAACCAGACCTTTCTCCTAAATGCCTTCCTTCTGTGGGGCACGCAGTGTCCCCACAGTGGCAGCCGGCCCTCTAGGCCTGCTTCTCACTGGCGGCTCTGCCTCAGAGTCGCCTAAGGTTTATGCCACCAGCTGGAGCCTGGTACAGGAGCCAAGAAACTGAGTCTTGAAAAGACCTAATATTGCTAGACCTTTAGCCAGTCTGAACCAGCCCGCTGCACTGGCCGATTTCTCCTCTGTAACTCAAAGCGCTTATTGGAGAATTGGAGACAAGTCTTTCACTTTGTCAGTTTCTCTGGATCAAGAATGGAAAACTTCCTTCAAGGACAGGATTGTGCAAATGGAACCCATCAGCAATCCTTACTTGGAAAGCTGTCTGTGAAAGGCACATAGTCCACATGGGAACATGGAAAGATGTTCCATAAAATACACACCTGACTGTGTTGCAGCCATAACCAATAGGTGAAAACACAGCCCAAAATGCAGATACATATATTACATTCTAGGCATGCAAAATGTTTCTCTATGAAATATACACACAGAGGTATTTTCATCTACTGCATGAGAAAGCAATGTACCCAGAAAATATTACATACAGCAAATACATTCACCATATGTAAAAATTTATTTACACATAAACACTACCTGTGTACATATCCTACATACACAATGTACAATCCTAAGTCTCTTGAGGTACCTGCTTATATACTCCATAAGACATAGAATCATTGCATGGAAATAACTACATAAAAAATGGCATGAACATTATACATACTCAAAGTGCCTATCTACCCAGTGTATTAAAAAAATCTGTAAATTGTTTACATGCATGGTGCCTGTACCAAATACATTGAAAAACTATTCTTTGAGTTCACATATTTTTATTTTCTCTGGATGTCTTAAAAGTAAGAGCAGAAGGAAGCATGGACATTGGTAATGACAATCTACATCTATTGAACCTTTTTTTCTGTTCTGTATTTCTTCATTCCCATCTTTTACACCCCCTTCTATGTCTACAAACATCATATAAGTGTTCTCTATTTCCCTGTCATATCTCTTGTCTGAAGCCAGGATCTATATTGAACAGGCTAAGTCCTGTTTGCAGGAGGGTCCATGCATAATCATGCCTGTATAGCACCAGCATTATAACAACAATTAGGTCACTTTGAGTGTCTCAAGATGCACTCTTCTAGGACTAATGCAAGTATATTAGAGCAGTCCTCTGTGCTGCCAGGTAGGAAAGAGGAGGCCACAGTAGTCTGATGAGGTGTGTAACAAGCAGCTTGATGCCTAGGTGTGCTGCTGGGCACTCAACGGTTTTTGAAGGCTGTTTGCTTGATTTTTACATTTTTATTTTAAAATACTGAGCCTAGGGAGCCATATGAAACAAAGGTCGGATCAGAGCTTCTATGTATCTCTTACATTTGGGAGCAACCCCCTCCTTTGCACCCGGCTAGAGCAGAGAGGCTTCCTGGTTTCTCAGCTCCTTGGCTCCAATTTGGATCCTTAAACTTAGCCAGGTGGAACTCCATCTCTGAGTCTACACAAGCACCGGGAAAGATATCCCTTAAGCCACACTTTTTCAACAAAACACACTCCCAACGTTTTTGGAAAGGCATTTTCTTACACTGAGCTGACTTTGGCCTCTTTAAAAATTAGTCCTACTTGGATGTTAGCAATTAATAATCCAGGACTGTATGACACATACTTATGGAAAAAAATTCTGAGAGACAGTTCACTCACACCCAGCAGAGAAATTGTTTATGAGTCCATGGGTTCCGTGTAGACGCGGCCATATTTTATAGTCCAAAGGAATCAATTAATTAGCACCTCCCAGTCCCCCCGCCGCCGGTCGCTGCTCGGCTGAGAGCGCGCAGTGGAGATAGATGTGCGTGGCCAGCTCGCTGGTCTTGTTAACAAGCCTCGTCATAAAGATGGAGATGATAAGGCGAGCTAGAAAGCTCCCGCAGCCACGAGGGCGGGCGGCGCGGGGGGGGTGTGTGTGTGTGTGTGGGGGGGGTGTTCCAGGGCCCAGCCAGCCAGCAGCATGTAGGACACAGTCAGATGGGAGCGGTGCTGCCCTGGAGCCCAAATGAGAGCTAGACCCGGATAATTCTCTCTCCCCTCCCCTGCCCTGAATTTTCCCCTTTCTTCATCGAGCTCAAAATCAGATTTAAGAAAATAAAAATACATAAACCTCTGTCCGTGAGTGCCTGTCTTGCCCTCTGCCACGTTTGTCCGGGGACCTGCTGGTCTCGCTCCTTTCCCTGCATTTCTCGGCGTGGTTCCCTTTCATCTCCGATGGCGCTCTCTTCCCTGCTCTGGCTGTCTCTTTCTTTCTGGCTTCGCGGTTGCTTTTTCCAGCGGGTGGGTGCTGGTTCAGGCACCAATGAGCTTGTAAAAAAAAAAAATACAAGTACCCCCTGGTTATCTCGCACCAGAGTGAACACCCCTAGATAAGCCAGACCCAATGACAATAAAAATTTAAAAAAAAACACCTTGGGTGTAATTGCTAGTTTGGGTTGTAGCACTTAATTCTGTTTATTCGCACCGATGTGCATACTTAACAGAGAGATATTGATATTAAAGGGCAAGGGGGAATTAATTTTACTTTTATAGTCATCTATTAAGAGCAGAAGATGATCTGTTTCCTTTAAAGGGACCAAAAAAAAAAAAAAAGAGGTGGGGAAGAAGAGAGAAAGCAAGGAGGGGGAAGGGAGAAATATGACTAGAGAGGAACAAAGATCTTTGCCTGAAGAAACAATGTAACACTAGACAGAACTATAAAGTCTGGGAATGTAAGATTGCAGGACTCTCTCTACTTCCCCCATTTAGAATCCTGTCCCCTGCACTTCCTGCTGAAATCCCGACCCTGACTACACAGTGGTATTCAAGGAAGAATTCATGCAATTATCCGGATAATTGTAGGGGGAGAAAGAGTGAAAGCATTTCCTTTTTATTGTCTGACCCTCTCTGGTGTCTGTGTAGAGGAGGGAGGAGGGAGTGTGTGGGATATGGAAGAAAAGGATCCCTCAATATCACCTTAAGTTCTACAAAATGGCCACTCCTAAATCAAGAAGTACCTAGTCAAGAGCTTACAAGTTTTGAAATATATTCAAGAAAAACACAAGAGATCCCATTTGAAGGCCTCTGATCCAGTTTCATTTTCGATATCTGCTTGACTTCACTTGGTTTGCATAAACCTGCCTACTCTAGTATTGTAATCATCTCAAGTGAGTGGATAATAGATAATTATAGGGGTGTCGATAATATCATTTTATAGCCATACAAGATATGATTAAAGTTAGTGTCGGAGGCTCTGTTGGAACCCAGGAAACAATACGAGGCAAAGTAGGAAGGAGCAGTCTTTCTCTTTACTTTTTTTACTTGTGTGGGAATCTCCAGAAATCCCTAATACTCTAAATTCCCTCTCTTTCCCCCTCCCCCACTGTCGTAAGGGAAATCTCTAGGATTTTTAGTAGTTATAAAAGCTCAGAGAAGGATGAACATCATCCTTGATACTTGAACTCTGCTCCTCTTAGCCTAGGGAGCAGTGGGCTCTGCTCTCCCTCTGCTCCCACAATCAAAGGCTTAGGTCTTAGTACAAGGCTACAGTAGGATTGTGGAGATTTGGCAGAGAGGTCAGTAAGAGCAAGACAGGGGTTTATCAAAATCAAGTTCATTGTCAATCCCAAGTGAGCACTGGGCCCAGAGTAAAGCCCTTTTTGGTTCCAAATTGACCTTTCTTCCCTGGAGTCTACTCCCGAAGGACACCTGAGTAGGGAGAAAAGCTAAGCTGGGGCTGCTGAGGTAGTTCAAGGTGAGTATGAGGAGAGGATTGAAAATATTTCTCTTGTTTCTGGGAGTCAAGAGACCTGAAGTCTATCGGAGAAAAAGAGACTGTCATTGAGGCACAACCAGAGATTAAGGCAAGAGAAAATTGAGGGGAAATATGAAACCACAGGCAAGACTGAAAGGAATGAGTGAACAAAAAGGGGCAGGAAAAAAAAAAGAATGGGAGGAGAAAACAAAGAAAAGAAGGAAATAAAAGGAAAAAAGAGAAAGAGGAGGGAGGAGACAGAAACAAGGGTCAGCGGTTGCTCTCTCTCTCTGCCTGCCTTTTGCAGCAGTCTGGGTGGGCGGGGGCGCCATGACAAAGTGAAGGTCAAGTTAGCATCGTACCTTATAAGGAAGGCGCCGGTCCTCCATTTCAGTCTTTCTCTCTAGAAGGAGGTGGCAGTGGCATTTCTGGTCTTGTAAACACTGGACTCTATGGGACCTTAAAAAAATAAAGATCCCCCCTCCTACCTTTATTGGGGGTGAGCTCTACCGGCTGGGGGAAGCTGCGGACGGGAAAGTCAACTAATGAAGACTCGAGAAACTTTTCCTTTCTCTCTTTCCATTTGCTCCCCCCCATTTCTCTCTCTCTCTCTCTCTCTCTCTCTCTCTCTCACACACACACACACACACACACACACACACACACACACACACTTCCCTGCCTTCCATATCTTTCGCCACTGTCTATAACGCTGGGCTGGATCTCTCCACTCCCCCCCTTCCCTTACTGCAGATTTATAAATCCATTCCAGTGCAAAGCGGAGCAGACATGAGAACTGGACAGAAAATTAAACGTCATAAAGAAAAGTTCATTTACAGCTTAAATGTGTGACTATTACGGTTTTCTTCGGAAAACAAAGCGGTGTATTCGGTAAGGAGAAGTGAGGTAGCAGGGGTGGGGAGGGCTGGTGCTGCAGGCTTGAATTTATTTATTCCTCACATCCAGAGGCGGAAAGAAAGAGAAGCAGGGAAGTGAGAGAGAAGCATTTTGACCAAGCAAAGCAAAGAAGGCTGTAGCTGGTGGGATTGGGAGCTTCTAGGATCGGGTACCCCCGCAGCGACTCCCGGATCTCAGAACGCTGAGCCGGTTCAGCCCCGGGGCCTTGGCTACGGAGGAGCAAGTATATTAGATGTTTGTTGGTTTCAAGTAACTGGAAAGCAAGAATGGAGGAAAAAGACAAGGAGAGTAAGGCGGAGCCTCAGCCCACCAGCGAGACAGAAAGTAAGAGCAGTGGCGGCGGCGGCGGTGGGCAGCGGGTGGACTCAGCTAAAAAAGACAGAAGAAGGAGCCTGAACTAGAATCCCAGGTTCTTTTCCACCACGGTAGCTCTGAGATTGGGGATGAGGGAGAAGTTGAGAGACGGTATTATCGTGGGGGTATTTGCAGAGGGCTCACTTTTTTCCCCCTGGACTTCAGTTTGTTTTTGCCTCCTCTGTGCTTATGATGCCATTTTTAGGCCTATTTTTTTTTCTTTTTAAATTGGAATTGTAATGGCAAAGAACGGAAGGATGCTCAGAACGCAATGACTGGGGATTCTGGTTAAATTTGATGATTCCCAAATCACTTATTGTTGTCACCTCCATCCTTGTCAAATGGAATATTGGCCTCTGGAATCAGCCCCTTCCCACTTTACCTACCTAGTTTGGGAGTGCCTCTGGGCTATTAGGAACTCGAAGTGGTGCCTGAGGCCTGAAGGACAGCAGCCAAGAGCAGCCTGTATGGTCAGTGGAGCTTCTAGGCCTTGGTACCCGGTGCCATCCTATCCTGTGTTCTGATAATGAAAAACAAAAGAGACCTGATTTGATTATTTCTAGTTGGTGTTAAAAGATCCTGATTTTCTATGCAGCTTCTGACCCTGAGATCTAAGGTGATAAGTGTTTTACCCATAGAAATTTAATTTGGGCAAAGTGCCACCATATCACAAAGCCCCTGGGTTCTTTGGGTAGTGGCTGGGGTTGGGGTAGCCAGGGTAGGAACATTTGTTGCCAGGAGGTCCCAAGGAGGGAATAGCAAGCCCTCTTTGGAGGATTTTTTTAACTGGTCTAAAAGGACTGGGGAGGCCCTTTCTGATGTCCCCACAGCTTGTAAAGGGAAACCCCAGGAAGTGAGAGGGCTTATCAGCTTGAATACTTCCCCCTAGTGTGGGAAAGATAGAGATATCCAGAGCTCACCCTACAAAAATGATCTCAATGTCTGTGACAGAGAACTGTCAGGCTCTTTGGAGATTTAGGGACTTGCATGCCTGAGGCAGGACCAGGCACCCTGGTGAAGGCAGAGGCTGAGGTGTGGTTTGGGGTGGGTAGGGGAATCTGAGGGGGTTAGGCTGGTAAGGTATCACCCAAAAGCAGTTCTTCAGAGAAGCCAAATACACACAATGGGCTCCAATATTGAAAAAACACCAGATCATTTGCCTGGGAGGGACATAAACAGGCCAAGCGGATGCAGGTTAATAAAATCCGAAAAAGCCCAGACAGGAACACTTAAAATGCCCAGAACAAAGCACACCGTGACAAATTCTCACCCAACACGCAAGTACACGTACCGGAATGTTCCCAGGCGCAGAGAAAAAAGACCTTGTCTATCTCAGGCCTCCACCCATGGACACTCATATATACCTGCCCAGCTCCAGCAACAAATTTGTGCACACCTAAATCAACCCAAAGAAACCCCCAGGGATTGAGGGGGGGCAAGTACCGGCTGGACTGCACACCCCGCAGAGCCAGCCTGTGTCCCTGGAGCCTCGCTAATGCAAGATCCAGATCCATACCCGGAGATAAAAGTCTAGACAATAGACGGCTGTTTATGACAATGAGGCTCTCCAAGTTTGGGGCCAGGCGATAAATCTCTGGCGAATCTTCCTGTAACTCAACTTCTGGCTGAAGTGACGAGAGAACCTCGGAGACCGCAGAGGAAAACAGCAAAATGGGGAAGACTTAAATCGTGAGCGACTTCCTCGCTGGAGTGAGCTGGCGAAGGCTGTCACACTCGCCGTGGGTCCACACTGTGAACGCTTTCTGATTAAGCTTGAGAGCACAGGCGAGTCAGGGCTTCCCGCTATCCGCCCTGGAGTTAGGGCTCCCAGAAATCGGGGCGAAAATGCAGGCCGAAGGCAGGGCCTGGAGGCTGGGACAGACCCACAAACCATTTTTGCTGGGGGCAAGGGGTCTTTTGTTGTTGACTGGGCTCTTCTTGCTCTGTATCACCTGATATCTCTCTCTCTCTCTACCCCCCCCCTTTCCTTTTTGGATTGATGGGCTGTTCCCTTTTGCATTTTCGACCCAGGCGTCTGATTACAAGTAAAGAGCCACTGAAGTTGATCTCATAAAAATGCCGCGAGCTGACTTTGATCAGCATGGGCTGGGTCCGAGCCTAAGTAGGCGCTAAAGCCGGGGAATGGCGGCTCGGGCCAACCCGGCCTCAGCTCTGCAGCGAGGCGGGAGATCCGGGTGGCCCAAGAGGGCAATCTCACCCAGAAAAGGTATTTTCAGTGGGGCTACAACTGGCTTGGAAACTAAGACCCAATGGCAGCAGCTCCATTTGCAGACTGCTTTTAAGACATTTCCTTCATTTTAGAGCATTTGGTGGCGGGGGGGGGGGCAATGAAACTGGCTCGTAAAATGGGGCTTTTATGGAGAGAAATGGGTCGCATTGCTAGCCTCCGGAGCCGATCCCTCCGCGGAGAAAGCTGGGTGGTGCTGCAAGGGCAGAGGAGCCACTGGTCTCTCCGCGATACTGGTCTCTCCCCACTCCTCTGCACCCCATCCACCGGCCAGAGGAACTTCGAAGCAGGGTCCATTCGCTTAAGTAGCCTAACTTGGGGCCTCGGCTTGAGTCTCTAACCAGGGCAGAGTAGAGGTGGAACTCGCAAACTTGCAGTCCCAACCCGTTCTGGTTCCCTGACTGGGGATAGGGTGGTGTGGGTGTCCCGCTAGCCAGAAAATTCCAAAACACACTAAAGTGTTTATTCTATGCAGTGATATTGCTGTAACAGAGAGAAATATGTGTAAGGAGGTGCAAACTAATTTTTAATGAGGGCTCCTCCTTGCTGGTCCAGCCTGGGAACAACTGAGGGTGTCCATGCATGGATTCCCTCTGTTTATCTTTTTATTGACTCCACAAAGGGCTGAACTTACAATCCAAGCCCATTAGAGACCTTACTATCTATCCTCTTTCTCCTCTCAGGGTTTTCTTCCTGGCTCATGGCCTGTGGAGAGGGCCCCTTCCCCTATCACGATCTACTCTCTACAATCCGAGCAGCTGAATCAGGTATATGAGTTGAAAGGCGGCCCCATCGCTGTGTGCAGGAGACTGCGTTAGGAGCGGTCCCGCCAGAATTCGGTAGATACTGCCCCCCTTCTGAAGCCACCCCTGTTATCCCTGTGTGGGAGGGAAGGGAGTCTGTAGTAGCCTTGGCCAGACAACCGAGGCTGCCCGCCCAGAAGGCAGCCGCCTGCTAGTGGCCAGGCAGACGGGCGGTTGGGACTGCGGCTACCAAGAGTCACTGTAAGGACGGCTGGAGGACTTCAGGTGAAAGCTGGGACTCCAGGTCAGTGGAGAGGCCATCGGAGTGCATCAGGTGAGGGAAAAAAAAATACGCCTGTAGTGGGGCCTGCAAGGGAAGGGATTGGGGACTACAGGTATCCCCTGAATGACAGGCAACCACTTCCCTGGCCATCAGTGCAGGCGGAGAAGGAGCAGCCTGGGGCCAGCAAGCTCATCTGAGGCTTCCAGGTGGCCTGGACTCAAGGTTAGGCTAGAGAGGCTGCTACCCCACACTGTGAGCAGTTTTGCCAATCACCATCTAGCTGACCTCAGAGAGCAGGACCTCCTCTCTTTGACTCCATCAGCAACCACCAGTTGCTGGAATTTTTAAAAGTTGTTGAAAAATTAAATGTCAGACCAACTAAACTTCATGCTTTACTTTTAGGGGGGGAGATATGAGTTCCCACAAATCTTTGTTAGAAGACCCCGAAGTTTCCTAGACATCAAATAAGACAGCTGAGAAACAGCCAGCCGCTCCTTGCAGTCGCCTGAGTCACTTTTATGGTGGCCCCGAATAAACTTTGGTGGTCAAATTCAAGTGCTCAGGCCGACAGCTGTCTCCTCACAGGAAGCAGCCCACCCCCTTTGGCCATGGCTGTGCAAAATATGCCTTAGGGAATTGGGCCCCACATTGCCCAGGAGGCCAAGAAGCAGAACCTAGTAGGGAAGTGAGGAAAATAGGATCTGAGACTCTGCCCTCATCCATGCCTCTGCAAGGGATAGGGGTACCTCTGCCTTCCCTTTCACTGGTTCCTATCACTGTTTGGGGAGCATTTTGCCTCCAATAAACCCAAGTTTAATGAGGTCACAGCGAACCCCATAAAAGTCACAGTCCATAGTTCCCCACCATTATAATTAAAAATGCTACCCCCAGCTCACCCTATAAAAAAGGGCTAGAGGAAGGAGGAAACGCAACAGATTTTTCTTTTTGTGGTCCCTTCCCTATGGAGAAGTCCCCCTACTTTAGCAAAATCCCAGTCTAGATTCTTCGCCCTCAATTAAGATCTGGCCAGAACTAAAAGAGGGCTAAGAAAGCAGCACCCAGCAATGAATGAATAGAGGAGCACTTGAGGCCTCTCCCAGAATATTCCTGATCACCCCAAAAATGAGATGCATGGTAAAGGCAGACTCTACCCAGGTATTGTTCTAAAGTCTGAGCAAATTTGGGGAGGCAAGAGAGTTGAAGAAGAATATATTTTAAAGGTTGTATTTGGAGATAAGGTACCATATTTGTGTCTTTCCTATCTGGTTTGAGGGGCCTCAGCACCTCACCATGCTCCAACAAGGAAAATGAAATCCAAATAAACATTTAAAAGTGGAAACCAGTTTTAACCAAAAGATAAGAATGTAAAGAGGGTTCAGGCTATTTTTTACTTTCCCTGAGAGGCAGTGGGTTGTCTTTGGGGGCTTTCCCTCCTTCCCTAGCAACTCATACTGTGGGAGCTCCTCCTGGGAACCAAGGTTGCTTTCTGCTTATGTCAGTTGCTATGCCCCTGAGACCAGTTCAGAACCTTTCAATAAAGTGATTTTTCTGCTGCCCATCTGTGTGTTGTGATGCCCAAAGGTATGGGAGACACGGGAGAACAGAATCATTAAGTCTACCTCTCCGGCCACAGCCATTCAGGAGACTGAGCCTTAGAGAAGGACAGGACAGAACTGAGAAACAGGAAGGAAGCACTAAGGTCTGGCTATAACCCCGGAGAAAGAGTCTGGGGGCTTCCACTCCCTAGTGTGGAGGGTCCACAGCACCCTTTCACTGTACTGCTGGTCTGCACTGGAGACCCATACCTGGCTTCACCACCCACCTAAGCCCCCTAAATCAATGAAAGACAGGAGCCTCTAGTCTAGTCTCCCCATATTCTGCCTGGGCCCCAACACCAGGCTTCCTTTCAGCCTAGTAGCTGAGGCTGTGCCCCCAACCCAAAGGGCCAGGGTAGAGAAAATGCATAACTCTCATTCCAGTCTTTTTCCTTGGGGTTTGGGATTTAAAAATCCACAATGGATGCAGCTTTCTGCACATTGATTGACAATAAAGGCAGGCATGAAATATTCACCCAGGGCCACTCTCTCATACTAAATATTTAACACAACATTAGAGAAGGTTTTTCCCAGACTTCACCAGGCACCGGCTGGGCGGCTGGCGCACTGCTCACCACTGGTTTATGACTAATCGAGTCCCTAGCCGGCGGCAGCACAGCAAGCCAAAGTTGGGACACTGATCATATCTGGGCTGCCTCACCTTTGGGAAACTTCAGATACTCTTCCGGGGAGACTCTCCAAAGACCTAAAAGGAGCTCACCGAGCTCTAGCGGAAAATAATCGAATGGACTTCTTCAAAGTCCTGTAAACAGGCGCTGACTCTGCGGGTTGGAGGGTAAGAGTCCCTGAGACTTGGGGGGAAGGACTCACTACTCTGGGGGAAATCTGACAGTGGGGAAAGAAGACCTCACTCTTACCCCAGTCTGGCGCTGATCCCTATACTGAAAGCTCTCCTCCTTCCCCCAATCCTAGGGGGAAAAAGAGCAGCAGCTAGAAAAAAAATACAATTACCCCCTCCCAGCCACCGCCCCCGCCCATCCCACCGCCCACCCCACCCCAACCCTCTCTCTCCTCCTTTGCTCGCTCTGTGGACTGGAGAGGAGGGGAGTGACGAGAGAAAAACGAATACAAATCTGCAATTGATTTTCACAATGTTTCTGCGGTGTTTGCAAACCAATCGCCTGAGCGTCCCCGATCTTACCTAAGAGAGAACCCCTCCTACGTCTGCGAAGTGCTCCGAACTGATATATGACAATATCTACTTTGGATCACGTGCTCGGGGAGAAAGACTAAGACGGATAACGCGTCATCTCGCCTTCCCAAATTTTCCCCCCTCGCTAGACCGGGTCCAAAACCTCCATCCGGAGCAGGCAGGAGAGGAGAACGATGTTTAACTCGGTCAACCTGGGCAACTTCTGCTCGCCGTCGCGCAAGGAGAGGGGCGCTGACTTCGGCGAGAGAGGGAGCTGCGCTTCCAACCTCTATCTGCCCAGTTGCACTTACTACGTGCCCGAGTTCTCTACGGTCTCTTCCTTCCTGCCCCAGGCCCCCTCTCGTCAGATCTCTTATCCCTACTCAGCCCAAGTGCCCCCGGTCCGGGAGGTCTCCTACGGCCTGGAGCCATCCGGCAAGTGGCACCATCGGAACAGCTACTCTTCCTGCTATGCGGCGGCCGACGAGCTCATGCACCGGGAGTGCCTGCCTCCTTCCACAGTCACTGAGATCCTCATGAAAAACGAAGGCTCCTACGGCGGCCACCACCACCCCAGCGCCCCGCATGCAGCCCCCGCCGGCTTCTACTCCTCAGTCAACAAGAACAGCGTTCTGCCTCAAGCCTTCGACCGTTTCTTCGACAACGCCTACTGCGGTGGCGGAGACGCGCCTGCCGAGACCCCCTGCTCGGGCAAGGGCGAGGCCAAGGGGGAGCCTGAGGCGCCCCCGGCCTCGGGACTGGCGTCCCGGGCTGAGGCGGGTGCAGAGGCCGAGGCCGAAGAGGAGAACACGAATCCCAGCTCGTCCGGGTCTGCCCACTCCGCTACCAAGGAGCCGGCCAAGGGAGCCGCCCCCAGTAGGTAGCAGCGGCCGGGAACTGGCGGGCAGCGAGGGAGGGAGCGAGAGAGGGAGGGCTAGAGTAGGGGGGAGGCAAAGGGAGCAGAGACAGCCTCGTGTTTTGGGTCAGTCCGATTTTATGTGGAGTTTTATAAGCATTCAAAGGATTTTATTATAACCTACAAAGCCCTCTTTCCCAACGACTCGACTTTTTACGATGGAGAAGGGGTGGGGAGGGAGGGAAAAGAGCTCTTTGGAAAAGCCGGGTGAACCCCCCCTCCCCCGTTATCTCCCTTGGTCTGTGAAATTTTTAAAAGTGCCACCATTGCGGGCGATATTAACTTTGATCGTGAACTTAGAGGAGCATTTAAGGAAGGATGGGGAGCCGGGCTGCCTGGGGGTGGGTGGGAGGGAGGGGAGGGAGGAGGGGGAGAAAGGGGAGGGCGAGGAAAGACAGGGAGAAACCCAGAGAGGGGGAGAAGTGGGGGAGAGAAGCAACGAAGCAGAACTTGAGACCCCAGAGGCGAGCCAAGGCTGCTTTACTTCTTTTAAAACTATTTTTGAAAATGTTCAAACTATGTGTTTGTGGGTCTTTAAACAGAAACCTGAGCAGCCCAGGGGTTGCGGCGACAGGGGAAGGGGGAGAGGCGAATCGGAATTCCACTGCGCTCCAGGCGGGGGTCTCAGCTTTTCTGCTTGGTCTGTGGCCTCAGAGCCGGCCTAGCAAGGCAGCGTGCAAGGCACGGCTGGGCAGGCGGGCGTCACGGGGCGCCAGGGCCCAGGAAGAGGCTCTCGGGTGTCTTAGGAGTCTGCTCGCTGGCTTCCTCCCACGGTTATCGCCAGATCTCACTTCTTTGCGCCGGTTCTCCGCGGTTCCCCCAGATTTCTGGGGGAGGGGGTAATGGACTTTAAAGAACGTTTAGAAGGGCAGCCCAGGAAAGGGCAGAGGACTGCAGGGGAGCAAGCAGGGGGGCCCAAGGGAAGCACGTGGCCGAGGCAGGTTTTCCTTCTCCCCAAGACCCTGTCAACTAAGGCTGTCGCCTGAGGGGCAAGGGGCGCGAGTGGCCCAAGCTAGACATGGCAGGGGGATCGAGGCCTTGCCTAAGCGCTGTGGGCCGCGAGAGGACAGCCGCCGGCCTGGCGGGAGGGCTGCCCGGCGGATGGGCTGGGAGAAGGACCGCTGAGCGCTCAGCGGACTGGGGTCGCCCGGGTCTCACGTGTCTCTTTCCCCCTCTCCTCGCACTTGCCCCCTCCCCTCCCTCCAGACGCCCCCCGCACCCGCAAGAAGCGCTGCCCTTATTCGAAATTCCAGATCCGGGAACTGGAGCGAGAGTTTTTCTTCAACGTGTATATCAACAAAGAAAAGCGGCTGCAGCTGTCCCGGATGCTGAACCTGACGGACCGACAAGTGAAAATTTGGTTTCAGAACAGAAGGATGAAAGAAAAAAAACTGAGCAGAGACCGGCTGCAGTATTTTTCAGGAAATCCGCTGCTGTAACTGCAGACCGCGTTTTTTGGGGGGAGGGAGGGAAAGGGGGAAATTATTTTATTTTATTTTTATTTTTTATTTTCTAAGTCTTTTTTTTTTCCGCGGGTGGAAAACTGAACTGTGGGCCAGGGCTGGCCCCCACTGCCGTTGCTGGCAGTTCCTTCCGGAATCTCCTTCGCTTTGGGTCTGACTCTCACTGTGGGAACAGAGACCCGGCCTGGAAAAGGGGGTGAAGGGAAGTGTCTGATCCGTGGCGAGTTCTGACTCTCACTGTGGGAACAGAGACCCGGCCTGGAAAAGGGGGTGAAGGGAAGTGTCTGATCCGTGGCGAGTTGACCCCTTTGGCGCCGAGGCCCCAAGACTCTTTATTTAAAAGAAAACACACCTTGCGACAATGTCTTGCTGCTCGGATTGGGTGGGGGGAGGGGCGAGCGTAGTGGGCGCCTGAGCCAAACAATCCTTGAACTACAAGTCTTCCCTTGCCCAAGTGAAAAGAGCTGCTAGGACACCTTGTCTGCGAGAGGAATCCTGTCGGGCTCCCTGCCCCTACCCCACCTTGCCCCTCTGCTAGGGGGTAGCTAAATGTGATCCTGCCTTGCTGTGAAATTCCTGTACCTTTGACCTGGTGTTAGGTGTGCAAAGTCCGTGTCCTACCTCTGTCTGCGCCCTGGCCCCGCCCGAGCCTAGTTGTCCTTCCCCTAAATGTGTAGAGCCCTTTTTGGAAATTTCTTAACTGGTGCATTGAGGTGTACTAACCTTTTCCCAAGCAGTGCCCCACTCCATGGATTTATAGCTAGTCTATGCGAGTGCGTGTGTACGTGTGCAATCCCCCACCCTGCTCCTGTCCCAGAGGGATTGCTGTGAATTTTTTTTGTGGCAAATAAAGGTATTTCATTCTGTTCAATATTATGATTTTTATTTGACCTTTTTATTAACCCCTCTCCTCTTAAAACCCTCCATGCTCCCAAGGCAGAGAAGGAGGAGGCAGGCTGGAGAGCCTAGCCAGTGAGGACCGTCTTGCAGAGGTGAGGCATGCCCATGCTGGCGGGACTGGAGCTCCTCTCCACTGGTAGAGCCAAGAGTATGGCGGTAGCTTCCTCTAGCTCTCAAGTGAGGGACATTCCATGGCTACTCCTAAAGCTTTCCATTCTCACGTGCATCTCAAGCTGTGTCCAAAAGCCAAGCAACACTTTCCGTTTAAGTGCACGTTTGTTGTGGAGTTAATTGTAACCATCATCAAATTTAAATTTATAGGAATTTTCTTGGCTCCACCGCCCTCCTGCCAGATGTCCCGGTCTGTTGCAGTTAAATGTGTAGGGTTGCAGATAGAGCTTCCCCCCCCCCACCTTCTCTCTATGAGAAGACTGTATTGGAATTTTAATATACAGTTTTGAAGGAAGGAGGGGAGAGGAGAAACCAGTCCTCTCCTTGTCCTCTCTGCAGCCTCTTGGTGTGGGAAGGTGGGGCCCAGCCCCTTCCCCTTTGGCACAAATGGCCAGGCTCCTCCAGACACAACCAGATGCCCAGGCTGGGGCCACCCTGATGTTTATACATTAGGTGTCCCAAGGTAGAAAGTCCCTGGAGATGTGTTTTGTAGAGATTAACATGAAGTAGGGCACTGGGGAAGGAGGTGACCTGTGGGGACAGTCCAAACACCAATCTATATTTGTTGCATGTCTCTTCTGTGTAAAGATAGCTATGGTCTTTTCAACAGTTTTAGTAAGGGCACTCGCCGGTCTCTGTTCTAAATTCGTTATTTGAGGGCAAAGGTTTGGGAACAGTTTTCTCATCTTTCCTCTTTCTGTTCTTGTGTAATTCAAAGAAAATATGTTTGTCAATGCTGTTCTGTTGGATGAAAGGAAAAAGCACTGTGGCTATGGAATGAATGTAGGTTCTGTCATTTTCTGATGGCAGGGATCTCTGCAGCTTAGGCATCTGAGCTCTACTTTGTAAATGTGGGTCGTTGAGACAAGATTTGTCAATACATTTTATTATTTAAGGCAGTGTGCCTATGTGTGTGCACGTGAGGAGGAATATTGTACGCTTTTGCCTGTAGTATGGAGTAAATGTGACCATATGCACACCTATAGCTGTGTCCTCCCTACTGTGTAACCACTGGCAGTGTTTAATGAGTGTGGGTAGGAATGTGACTGAGGGTTCTCTGTGTGTTTGGGGGGAGCGACATATTTCTCTAGGTATGATGTTTATACAGTAGCTGTATCGGGGACTGTTACCTTGACCAGCCATGTTTCCTATAAAATAAGAAGAAGATAACTCTATAGACCAAACTCGCTTATAAAGCAAATTCTGAGGGCTCCTGATTTTGAAGAAAAAATATTTAAAACTGGCAGCTACAACTTTCCTTGCAATGTGCAGCCCAGAAAAAGATTCTCGGTTCCACAAGGTCTGAGGGATGAGAGGAGAGGCACGATGAAAGAAAAACAAAGGCTTCTGTGACCCAGGCCCAGGAACCTGCCAGTCCTGGTGACCTAAAACGGCCAAAAAAAAAGGGGTGGGGGTCTCTAGCCCCTAAACAAACCCTCCTTCAGACTCCTGGGATGTCCAGCCTCCCTTGATGGCCAGAGGCACTCTGGGCTCAACCTCTTGGGGTAATCCCCTCCAGCCGCAGCGCTGCCCGGGAACAAAAGATTCTCGTCTAGACGCCGCCATAAAGCGCCCCCCCGCCCCGCGCCTCTAAACCCAGTTTCATTTCGCCCTTAACGACCCAGTCTGGCCTGTGTTAGAAAAACGCTTCCGCCCTAAATAGTAAACAAACCCACAGTGGACGGTCTTGGCTCTCCCAACACACCCCAGACTCCCCACCCCTTCATCCTCTTGCCCCACATTTTCCCTCTTTTTCTCCAGCCTTTCTCAGCTCCCAGCTCCCCACCCCACCCCCCAAGTAAATAAACCAGAGGCCGAGTTCAAAGTTTCCTGGAGCTAAGGAGGAATGTTGGTTGTAAAAATCCAAGTTTATAGCGCACGTGGGAGTTTACAAGGGTATTAAGTGGTGTGGGCTGAGAGAGTACTTTGTGCCCCACCCCCTCCCACTATGGGTTTTGGGGGTGCAGGAGACAGAGACACTTGAAATGAAAAGTAGGTTGGGGTAGCCTCGGATTTGGAGTTTCTTTGTCACTCAGACCCTAAATTACCCAGGAATGGCAATGCAAGGGTCCCTTGTAGATGTGCTCACAACCCCACTCCCACGCCACGGAGCACCTCTGAGAGAAAGCCCATGGGTTCTAGGTGCCCCTGTTGGAAGAGATGGGAGATGTGTTTGAGGAGGGAACAAAAAAGGTGGAAACCAGGTGTGTGAAAGGTGAGCAGACTTGGAGTTGCCTGCAGCCAGTTAACCAGAGGGTAAGGAAGTACCTTGGGCTAATTTCTCGAGTGGGCTGAGGGAAGAGATGACTTTTCTCATCACGCAAAGAACTTTGAACTTCAAGGGAGTCAAGGCCACTACCCCTTCCTCCCTGCCCCCTCAGGAATCTGTAGGGCAATTCGTTTCTTGATCAATATTCCCTGAAGGGGGCGGCCCCTGGGGTTTCCTAGTCCCTCCTTGCCCAAAGCCCTGTGAGCACATCCTGCACGCGACTACACTCTTTATTATTCGTATAAACCTTTAGAAAAGGCAACGCCTGGGAAGTTTTTATAACTTTGTTTGGTATAAAAGTTTTACAAGATTCTCCTCCCTTTAAAAAAAAAACTTAAAAAGTTTAGGTCTTGCCATAGGATAGAATCTTTGAGAGGGAATAGAGAGAGGCTCTGGGTTCCATTGTGTGGGTAGAAGGGTGCCTCTCTTTGCTGAAGTTAAAAGGGCTTGAAGGTCGGGGCCAATCTCAGGTCCACCTTGGACCTGGCTTTGAGGGCTGTCAGTTAGCAGAGGATACAGGCCTTCCAGACAGTCCTGTCCACTATGCTCTTGAGATCCACCCTTTATGGACACCCCCCTCCCACAGTTTATACAATGTCAGCAGGACAAGACTTTCCCCCATCACACTCTCCTCCTCCTCCAGGCACTTTTTTTTCTCTCTTTCTCTCTCTCAACACACACACACACACACACAGAGAGAGAGAGAGAGAGAGAGAGTCCTGCGTGCACCCCCCACTACATGGAAAAAGAAGTCCTATAACCTCGAATCAGACCGCTGGTTTGGGAGGTTTCTGCACACATAGTCTTCTATCCCTGCTGCCTGTGAGGTCAAAAATGAATTTGAAGAAAGAATCCAAAATGCCAAGAAACTCCTGCCCAGAGGGTGCAGCTGTTAACAGAATCAAAGGAGACAGAGGCCAGCAGGGCTGAAGTCCAGGAGCACAGAAAACAAAGGTGCTCAATGTGGGGACATGGCCTTGGGCTGCCAAGCCCACAGATGACCCCTTGGACCTGCCCTCCACCTTCGACTGACAAAACCTCATTCCCTTACTTCCCCTGGCTCCAGTCTTGAGGGCACCAACTAGGCTGAACTTTGGGCCATTTTAATGTTCAGCTCTGGAGTCAGGACAAAGATGAGGGGACTTCTTCCAATTCAGGCCTGGTGGACAAAGCTCCTTTGGTGTGATGGAAATGAAGATCCCTGACCCCTGGAACCTGGCACTTCAGGGAGCCATTGGCATTGGTGAGGATGTGTCCCAAAGTCGGCATTTCCTTCCCTCTAATGGCGAATGCTGAGGCCTGGATGCTGGCCGCCAGCCGGCAGTTGTACACTTTCCTTGTGAGGAGCCGAGCTAAGGCTGAAGGCAGAAGATCAACTCCAAGCCTTGAGCAGCCAGGATGGAGAAGCATGCTACAATCTGAGCCTGGTGTTTTCCCCCTTCCTGAGCCCAACACAGCAGAGAAAAATAAGAAAGCCTAGGAAAGAAAGTCAAGGAGAAGGAAAGAATCGAGGAGGAAAGAAAAGAGCAAAGAATCGTATAATGAAAGAAAGAAAAAATAAAGAAAGAAAGGAAATAGGAAGACAAGGAAGGCAACAAATTACAAGAGAAATGACCGGAAAAAAGAAACAAAACGAATTGCACGGGAAAAAAAGAGAAAGAAAAATAGAAAAAGAAGCAAATAAAGAGAAAGAAGGACGGTGAAAAAGAAAGAAAAAAGGACAGGGCAGGAAAACAAATAAAAAGGAAGGAAGAAAGAAAGAAAAAGAAAGAAAAGAAACAGATCTCTAAAAAGGAATTTACCTCCTGAGAGAGGATCCGGTTTTTTCCCCCTGAGCAAAGCTGCCCAACCACAGCCCCGACACA